CACTTTCATTAACAAAAAGATAATGGAAGTCTGAAAGGTAGTTTCCAGTTATAAATTTCTAAAAAGCAACGAATTTAGCTCTTTGTAGTACGAATTCGAAATTTTTTCCGTTTAATGAGTTATATTATCAGCCAGATTTTTATCCAAACACAAAAACAAAAACCATAGGGCGGAAAGAGTTAAAGGTTAATCGCTCAGCAATTTTGCACTGAGTGAAATCTGGCAAGACATGCATGTTATCATGGAATTACCAATTCCACGAAATTATCAATACTTTTTTTATGTGATACATCTATGACGATGTATCACGACATCAATGACAATCACGATATCACGATATGTATCACGATGTATGATATCACGATCGCGATCGCATATCACGATATGATATCAGGATATCATCTATGACGATATACATCTAATCTATGACGACACAGAGGCCGACTCCCCCCTCCCCGCTAGAATTGTGATAGCACTATGTTAGTGAATAAGTGTATGTGCTGAATAAGCTGGGGAGAGAGGAAGTCGTCGACACAACTGCACTTGTTTCTTCTTTCTTTTTATGCGTTTTGTGCTGTGTAACAGCGTTACAAAACGCATATTGTCACCGCGTTGTCTGTGTGTATGTGTGTTTCTATATGTGTGTTTGTGTGTGTGTCCCGCACTTTCAACTCGGGAACCACAAAAGCTAGGCGACTGAAATTTTGGTATAGTGTTCCCCCCAACGGGTGACGAGGCAAACTTAAATTCAGCCTGCCCGTACCCGCGGGTAACTCGTATGGCCCCATGAAAGTTATTTGCGGGTAAATTAATATCTCAGGAACCATGGAGTCTAGGAGGCTGAAATTTAAGGGTAATGACCTCCTGCCCACGCTCAACCTTGCCCATTCAAATTCAGCCTTCCCGTGCCCGCGGGTAACACGGCCCCGTGAAAGTTTTTTACGGGTGTGTTAATATCTCGGGAACCACGGAGTCTAGGAGGCTCAAATTTTATTGTAATAACTCCCTGCCCATGCTCATCCTTGCCTATTCAAATTCAGCGTTCCCTCGCTGTTGATTATCACTTATGGCTTCGTGAGAATTTTAGCGGTTAAACTATTAGCAAGGGAATCGCGGAATGGTATTCACCATTCAAGGTTTCGAATTCAGCTTTCATACGCTGGTACGTGAAATTTTTTACTGTTTCCCAGCGTTTGAACTATTTTTGCATAGACTAAAGTATAAAGCAGTGAAAATCATCAGTAGGTAATCGTTTGATGGGCTGAATTGCACAAAACGCATGATCGCACCGGCTAGTCTGGTGCGCATTGCTA